ATAAACAGCAGTGAACACAGGAAACACAGTTTAAGTGACACCAAGAGCAGGAAACTCAGTTCTGAGTTGTTAGCACGTACCATGGGAGTACTACGATGATAGGTGAAGATCCCAAGGACAACAGCACAGATACATGTGCCCAGCAATGAGGCGGTAGTCAAACAGATACCCAGAGGCTCATTGTAGGAAAGGAACTCTGTTTTCTTAGGAACACAGCGGTCGCGCTGCGGGCTGGACCAAAAGTCCTCTGGACAACTGGTGCAGTCCATGGAGTCTAAAAACAAGGGGAAGATTGTAATTTTTGAAAGAATTTTCCCTTTGTTTTCCCTGCCCTGCTGTTGCTATTGCAGCAAAAAAGACCATCATCCTTCCCACTTTTGAATACAGGCATTTATGACTGCGGGGGATGGACCCCAAGTTTCTGCTGTTAGTGGGCATGTGCTTTCCCTCAACACCAACTGAGCACCTACATGGTCATACATTCCTGCATACAAATTAGTCCATAACAAAGAGAAAAATAATTGATACCAACCAGTTTCATTGCTGACCTTTCCCTCAGAACAAAGGATGCAGTCAAAACAACACACAGGCTGCCCCCTTTTCCTGGCCATGCGGGTACCTGGGGGGCAGCTCTCGCTGCACACTGATCTGGGTGGCTATAGGGAAAGAATAGTAAAATCACAGTTATTCTACACCATGTGGTGCTGCTATTGCATGTAATACTAAAGCAAACAAAACAATAAATATAAGTAACCTCTTTCAATTCAAAGTTCCAGAAGATTTTGTCTTCATCAATTGTAAGTTCTTCAACTTTGGAGTCTGACCTCTTAACGTCACCCACATTCTGAACTTTAGTTCTTCCATCAGGGAGCCACAGCCAATTCATGATATCATATATTGGTAAAGCATCACCATTCTCATCAAATGNNCAAATGACACTTCATCACCAAATGGTGTGGTGAAGTTGACCTTTTCCAAGTAATACATAAGCTACAAAAGGGAGAGACAACAGGCTTATCATGTTGATTGGATTAAGGCTTGCTGGGTTTAGTGTACAATGTACAGAAAACAGTTTCAAAATTATCTACAATAATGAGTACTTCTAAATATTAGTTTTGTTTGTTTGATTGAAGAAGTAAAAAAAAAAAAAGTAATCAACAATCAAAAACATTATGTTTTTCCTACTACTTCTGTCGATGAAATATGTTATTTCATCCTCATTAAAGAAAATTACAATTAAATAAAAGGAAGTTACTAGCGTAATTATATAAATTTTTACATAGTGGCTTTTCCCGTAATGTTCTACTCTTACAAAAATGCATTCAGTTAGTACCTCAAGGTGTAGCAGTTGTTTTCAAAACAAAAAAAATAAACAGGAGTGTAAACTGATATCACACCTGCCATGGCTCCAGTCTTTCCAAAGTGGCACAGCTGTGCCCACTGAAAGGCCCTCTCCCTGGCTCACACTGCAGCATGTTATCAAGCGCATATGCCAGAGCATACACAGCCTTGTAAACATTGTACTCAGGCCTGAGGTTTGACACATCCAAAAACTCACTCTCAACATTTTCTATTTCTTCCTGACCACTGCATATTGCTCCCCCAGCTTCCACCCAACCGGCTGGAGGTGGTGCAAATTTACACTGAAATGCGAATTCCCAAAACTGCTTTACCTGAAATGCATTAAAAACAGAAAGTTAACCAAAATAAAAAAAATAAAACAATATGTTATTGCAATTTGTCACCAGATTGTAAGCTTAAACTTTCACCATGCTATTTTCATAGCCATTGTTGTGGTGCTGATCAGGATTAATTCTTAACAGGAAATCCCTGAGTCCTGGTATTTTTCCACAACGGATAGCGATGCCCAGTGTGCCACCCAGGTACGGCATGAAGGCAGGGGTATGAAGCCCGTCAACTAACGTCCAAGCTTCACTGGCAATCCACTGTAGGCCTGTCACATTCTGCTTTACCACCTGTGCATGGCATTAAACCAATCTTTTTCAGACAATTACAACATACACAATTCTCCAATATAGCTGTTTCTTTTACTGACGTAAGCACAGATACGATTACATTTTTCAGAGCAAGTTGATTTATGTAAATCACTGTCTGCGTAATTTGATCTATTTTCAAAAACAACTGAGTTATAGAAAAATAACTATGAAAAGTATATAGGATCAATAAATGGACAACACAGGTAACAGATGACGAGGATATTTGCAAAAACGTTTTTAGAGAATAATATAGAGTTTTGTTTTCTGTTTTTAGTGCCAACTTGATACATTAAAAATGAGTAAATGATAATTCACAGAGTGAACATATGAATTTAGAGGAAAGGAAAATTATTTTATGGAGCCATGCAATGGAATTATAAATATCAATGTATTCATCCTCCAACCTCTTCCATGAGTTGAATCATGTGCATCTGATGTGCAAACACAATGACCACACGAGCTGTGGATTTTGTCATCACATTCACAATCCTCTTATATTCTTTTGGATTGTTGCCCCAAGGCAAAATCTCTGAATAGGCCAGACAACCTCCACCAGAATGAACCAGGTCAGATTGGAAGGATCGGGCAGCGTGGAGTCCATAGTCATCATCACTGACCAGCAGACCTGCCCAAGTCCAGCCAAAGTGTTTGATGATCTGAATCATAGCACGCACCTAAGTGAATACATAGTAGAGGGATTAGTGCACAGACTGGAATATAATCTTCTAGTGGAAATTTATACATACATGTTTCATGACAGAATCGTAATTAATCCTATTAAGATTTTTTTCCCTTAATGCATACAATCTCATAAATGATTCACAGAGAAAATATATGTTATGCACACAATATGTTTTGATTGACAAGACTTACTTGCCAGTTTTCTATACTTATATATGCAGTTATTATTTTGGTAGTAGTGTTTCACCTGGAAAGCATCACTTGGGATTGTTCTGAAGAAGGATGGGAACTGTTTGCGATCACTCAGGCAGGAACAAGTGGCAAAATAACTCACCTATAATGAAACATATAATGCACACATGTGCATCTTGTGCAAGTTAGTAAAGACATTCTAAATATTTTACTTATTTTAATAATTTATAATCAGTTTAAGTACAGCATGTCAAAAGCACACAAGAAATCAAAGACAGTAAACTTACAATGGGCAGTTTGAATAAACCAAGCACATTGGAGGCGGCAATAGAAAAGGTTGAGAATGGATCACCCACAATGCCCAAAACTGGAGGAGTCCCTAAACAGTTCTCCTGAAGCAGAAACTGCTCCTTTTGACCACTTGCCAGTGATAATGCAGCACTGAACCCAATACCAAGTGTAGCACAGTTATCATAAAGACTGTATCCCAGAGTCACATTAGGTAGCAGATTGGAATTCTTGTTGATCTCATCAATAGCAAAAGCCATAGTCATGGCATGCCTGAATCCTGGAGGGTCAAAGCTAACACACAACATATCTCTATTAATCGCTTAAAATAACATAATATTGTGTGCATGTTGTCTGATACATGTACAAGATCTGACATAAGACTTACCCTTGGCAGCTGGGCTCATTTGGCTCTGAGGTGAACGTCAGCTCAGGAAAGACAGAGGTGTAGTGGACTTCAAACAGCCCACCCAAAATTACATCACCAGGTTTGTGCATCCCATTAAGATTAAACTGTCTCCGTAATTTACAAGATGGGGGAAGATAGGAAGACTCAGAAAATAAAATAGAAAAAGAACTGAAAAGCAGATAAACAGAGGAGAACAAATATTTGACAACTTTTGGCCCCATAACTGCTCTCCTCTCTTAACCTCTGTATATAATCTTCATGCATGGGTACTTAATTTTATATGCAGGGCTATGTCATCCCCTTTCATCAATGTTTAATTGTTCACACCACCAATCAGAGCTTGGCCGACAGAGAAGGATGGGCATAATATACATTTCACATAAGCAGGTGTTTTGGTCAATACATGCCCTAAACCAGCGGTTCTCTCAAAGTGTTTTACTATTATTTCATTAACTAGTTAGCCCATTAAGAGAATTTACAAGAATGACTATTTTCTCATAGGTTACACACTGTTTATTATTAATCCAATCTACAGTACAGACAGTTATCAAATACAGGTCTGCAGCCTGATGTGCAGCCATTTGGTGGTGACAACAGCCAATTTTGAATTCCTGTCTATAGTGTGCTGATATGAAATTTCAATATGACAAGTGCTTTATACCTTATAAACTGAGGATACAATGCTTTAATCACAGTGTAACTGATATTTTAAGAATTGCAAAGCAATAACAGCAACAACTCTTTTGTACAAATCTACATTTATTTTACAAGAAATGATATGTATATTTAGTGAAAGCTGGAGGCCTACATTTATAATGAATTTGGTAGGTATAAAAATTTATTTTAAAAATTAAAATCAGACAGGGTTAGGGTTAGGGTTAGGGTCCACAGAAAAACATAATGTGCGAAGTACATTGTTAGCTGCAACATGTTTTAAATGTTGAATAAAGACACATGGAACTAATTCTACAAGTAAATTTAGAAGTGCTGATAATGAACATACAAGTCTAATTTCTACATTTATTGCCAATTTTCCTCAAATGAAAATTTTTATGAACAAATTAAAAAAAAGGTGTTTTTTAAATCTTGACATTTGTGAAAGCTAAACCACACAGACATGAATACCTGAACAATATTTTTAAAAATTTCCGTCTCATATTGTAATAAAACTTTGTCGAAGGCAAAGTAGTAAACAATTGACTAAAAGAAAATCAAGATTACCCTGTTGTACGATTCCTTTTATAAGTGTGGCTCAAATTTTCAAGGCCATGGAATACAAAATAAATAATAGACACATTTCTAACTGGCTAACAATATGACAGTTTTCTGTTTGGAGTCAGTTTTTTTTTTCTGTCACTATTTAATGAAACTCATTCTCTACAAATTTAAAATACTCAATAAATAAATAAATACCAAACCAACAACATTTATTTGAGATGCAATTACAAGCAACAGTAAGACAGTCTCTTCAGTCATACAGTAGACAGCAGAACCAAATCCAGCTCCTGGACAAAGTGAAATGTACACCGATCAGCCATAACATTATGACCACTGACTGGTGAAGTGAATAACACTGATTATGTTGTTATCATGGCACCTGTCAGTGGGTGAGATATATTAGGCAGCAAGTGAACATTTTGTCCTTAACTTGATGTGTTCGAAGCAGGAAAGTGAGTGACTTTGACAAGGGCCAAATTATGATGGCTGACTGGGTCAGAGCATCTCAAAAA